AACCCTAAGCTGCCCTAAATCTCAAGCTCAACATCCTAAACCTAAGCCATAAAAATGACACCAGAGATCCTCAAGCAGAACTTTTGGGCTAGCCAGGCGACATTCTCCAGGCGCTCTCGCAGATCCTCGCGCACTAAGCACTGTTCTAAGAAAGACAGCCCCCTAAACCATAGACCCTAAACTCGAATACACCTGGGAGTTTCCGAAAGTTGGGGACCCTGATATAGCACCCTACATTGTAGTATATATCCTTATTATACGGACCCCAAAATGAGGCCCCCCTTACTTTCGGAAACTCCCACCTAAACCCTGAACCCTGAAGAGCTGGCTCTATCTTTTTACGTCATGACTCGCGATACATGACGCTACCTTGACCCGAAGGGTTCAAAAGACCCAATCATCAGGTACTTGGGTCTAGGATGATAATTATGTAGGCTGATATTCGGGAGAGTATGTGATTATAAGCTACTTGGACCCGTAGGGTTAAGGTCTGCCTTGTATCCTGAAGCCGTATCCCAAGCCCCATGCCATAATTCTTCACCGAGAGCTCTTGGAGGCCGACTGAAACAAAACGTTTCAGCAACCCAAAGCATTCAATTAAGGAAGCTTTTCCTAACCACATTGGCATCATTCCGACCCCCAAACCCGAAACACCAAAAAAAGAAGGTAAGTTCATTTGCCAACGTTACACCGTGTTGGGGACTGAAAATAGGATCTCAGATTCGGGCTCAAGGGATCCGTCATGGATGCGATCAGGGCTTAGGGTTTGGCGCACACTAAGCCGTTTGGGTGTTGGGGCAGAAATGCTGATAGATGGCTGGGATAATGAAGCCCCAAAGCCCCTCTAAAACCGTGCATGACACCCCATGAACCAAAAGACCAAAACATACTCAAACCCCAAACCCTAAACAAAACTGGGGTCCTGCGACTGCTCCAAGGCGTCACGCTCTGAGTTCCGGAGATCAGCCATCTGCTCCGCCTCTCGTCCCAAGAGACATGTCCCTTTAAAGGGATCTATAAGGTATACGGGTTCCTTTAAGGTCTCCTATAAGGGATCTATGGGGTTCAGAGTTTAGGGGATATATAGTAGGGATCAATCTATATTCCTTAGTTAAGGGATATTGGTCTCTGGGACAACTCCAGCTTACCGGGGGGGTTACAAAAAGGATTCCTGTCCGGCGGATTTGTGTAACAAGGGTAGAAACCGTAATATTAACACTAATAGGTTAGAATTGAAATTGATAGTAACATACTGAAAAAAGTTACAATCCTGATATCACTATGACCCGAAGACTAAGTCCTTTGATGTCGCCCTAGGGCCTGGGATGAGCGCTCTCGCCTCACAGCTTCCACAATCTCCTGGCATTGGTGCTTCATAGGGTCTCACTCGGATGTTGAAAAGTTCTTGTGAGTGTTTTGAACGCCATACAAGGTCTTGGGGACTTTGTAGGGTGGTACAAAAGGCTACGACTGTTCGGTTGTCATAAGCTTGTGCGGTGTCCCTCAACCAACAGCCCGCAAACCATATGCTCTTATAAACCCTGAAGCCCTGAATCCGAAAGCCGCAAGCTGCCTTGGACTAGAGACATACTGTTAGGCAAATAACTGCTCACCCAGGGTTTAGGGTTCGCAGGCTCGGGGTTTGAGTTAAGCTGTGTGGAACATTGCGCAACCATACTTTCACTACAATCACCATGACCGGTCAAAAGGGCGACTATAGTAGCAATATCTAGACCCTAGAGTAACCTGGAAAAAAAGGGTGCCCTTTTTGGGATAAATGGGGTCATAAGGGAACCTAAACCCTTAAAAAGAGAGTAAGGGCCTACTCTGGGTCCTAGATATGTAGCAAGCACAGGAACAGGTCGAACACTGATAGCCCTAATGTTCTGCCACGCAATGTGGTGTCCATAGTTATGCTTTAGTTGGCTCTGCTCCGATGTCCATAGACCTCAGGTGCCACACTTTCAAGCTGACACCTCTCTGTCTAGAGGTTTTAGCATTTGCAGGGTTTGGGTGTTGGGCCTAAGGCCATGCACGCGAGGGTTCGCTGCTGAGATGACTGGAGCCCCAACCCCCGCCCAAAACAAGCAAGCCTGGCAAATCTTTGCAGGCAGAAGACCCTTCAAAGGTGGCTTATGTAACCAAAAGCGCTTTTAACTATGGCTTGGGGAATTTGATTTAAGGGTCGGAATAAACACCAATACTAGACGGTTTTGGTCGATATGGTTCGATGTGCCCCAAAACCCTCTTCTCTTTGTTAACCCTCTTCTCTTTGTTAAGGCACTTAAACCCTCCAACCTCTGTGGTTAAACCCGTATAGTGACCATATACAGTCCTTTCAAGCCCCTATTGTGACTCGGAAGGAAAGGCCCGTATAAAAAAAGATCGGCAAAGTAACCCTTCTGGACTTCGATAAACAAAAAGGAACCCTGAAAAAACACTATCTGAATTCTTAAGGTTCCTACAAAAACGGCTCAGCCGTCCTGCGCTTCCTCGCGCGTGCGATCTCCTCGAACCTCCTCAGCGGCCGTTCGGGCCCGCATTTCGTAGGCCTGGCATATAGTCCGGGGTTTATAGAGTTTAGATACATGTCGTAGGCCATGCAGAGTCTTGATGGGCTTAAAAACCTTGAGAGTGGGTCTTAGGGTTGAGGGCAGTAGGGTGTACGGTTCGGGGCTTTTGGGGCTTAGTTTAGCATTCACGGCCAGGGTTAATACATGAAAACATGAAAACTACTTCGTAGGCATGGCATGTAGGGCATTTAGGGTTGAGGGCTTAGGGCTTGGAGCTGTTGAATTTGTTAATGCTCTAGACTCTAGACACTCTAGAGGACAGGACAGATGCTGTTGAGAATGTATATCCATCTATTCCAGATATCCAGGTGTAGGTAAGAATGCACGTACGTCTTGGAACATAATTGCTATGATTGCATGAGCATCTCACACTGGTGAGTGTGTGTAATCCCAACAACTGGTTGCGTTATTGCACTTCTTGTTTCGATGGGGATGGAAGGGTCTGGGGACAGGCTGTTAATTTTTTCAACGACGACTGCTCCCGCCAGCGCTTTGATCATGCTTTCCCTATTATCCTGAACGCATGTCTCGGAACCCTACACCCTACAAACGGTGCTTCCAGCCGTCCAGGTTACGACGACTCCGACGTACGGCCTGTCTCCATGGTTTGCCTGCACCTGGGCATTGATCTTACCTCAAGGGCGTCACTAGATCGCTGCGATAGCGTGCCTCGCCGGGTCCTTTTTCTGCGTGGCACTCTGGCTCTTCTTTTATACCGAATCACTAATCAAGAAAAGGAAGAAGGACTCGCTGAATCAGGATGTACTCCATGCTACATGCTAATTAAGCTTGACACCCTAATCGATGATTCAGGGCTACTGGAAGCATATAAGCATGCGGCAAAAACGCACCAGTAAGAGCTATGTAGTCGCAGCAGTCTGGGTTGCAGCAGTCACCGCGTAGCAGAGTGCTAAGTACTGGTACGTGGGAGAATGAATGCCACTATCGCCACACGTCTTCCTGGGAATTGAGGCAGTAATCACTTAGTGGTCACGAGAGCGCGCGCAAACGACGCAGAAAGAACATGCAACTAACAACGCGTTAGTGATGCTCACGCAGTGTTAGTGGGAAGGCTTTAGTGGTCACAAACTCGTCGAAGACTATTTAAGTCAGCCCTTGCGAACCTCTTCGCGGCATGCGACCACCTGCGCTCGCAGCGTCTCAGCTTCCTCAAAAGGCGAGATGTTTAATGTTAACAAATATTCACTGTCTCCGGCTTGGGAACGGGCTCCTAAACCAAACCATAAACCAATTGTCTTTCGGCTTGGGTAGCTTTCAATGACCAACGCTTTTTGAACGAACCCCAGGCTTGAGGCTTGCAGGCTAAGCCAATGCGAGCTCGTGATTATTAAGGGTCCCCTCAATAGAGCTAAACTCGGCCCGGCACACAATAATAAAAGGCCCCCTCAATAGAGCTAAACTCGGCCTGCACGTAATAATAAAGACCCCTCAATAATCCTAAAACCCGTCCCGCCCTAAAATTTTTAAGGTTTAGGTAGTACTACTGTACTACTGTACTACTACTGATAGCCCCGGCCCCCAAGCAACTTCGCCCCCGGCCCCCCAAACAATTTCGACCCCGGCGCGCAAACACGCCATGATTATTATGGATTTTGTGGTTGTTTGGGGGGGGTCAATAATCAGGAGATCACAGCATTAGGGCCCTAGGAACATGATCGTGGAACTTCACAATTTCGGGATACAGTACCGCTGCAGGGTTGATGCTGTCAGGATTAGGAAGCAGAAGTCCTTGGAACCCGAACCCGTAGGAGGCGACATAACTTCACGTGAGTATGGTTACCTTATTTATAACCCCAGTTACTAAGTCGCATGATCCTCTAAGTACGGAAGATCAGGGGATCTTGTTTGCTTGAGCCGGTTGCTCTGGCAGCCAGCCGACTTTTGCGCCGAAGACAATCTGAACGTCCTGGTGCCCCAGGCCGCGAAGCTGGAAGTCTGAAATTCTGACAGCCATTGAAAACTTCGAAGGGAGGGGTTAGGGGTTGTTGGAACTTGAATGACACAAAGGCTTAACATTCATGCGTTGCCAAGTTGTCTGTCTTCTGACGTTGTGAATTCGGGCTACTCGTCCCGTCGACTGCCACAGGTTTTAGCAAGAACACATGATAGGATTTAGGCAAGTTTTTTTTAGGGTTCGGGGCCTAGAGGATTCGGGGTTTAGGCTTTTGCTAAGCAGGGAATGTTGTTACGAATTACACGAATCTCTCTCCAAGCGAGCCCGGGCAATGTGTTTTCTGAGATCCTCTGGGCCTCACGATCGCTTCTTTCGCGCTTTGGTCATAGCGCTTGCATGTCATACTTGGCGCATAATGAAGCACAAGCAAAGTTTTCAAGGCAGCGTCAGCCTTCGACCGACCAACGATTCTAAGAGCTTGCATGCCTTGTTGGCACAGAGGCACAGAGCAT